ATGTATGTATGTATGTATGTATGTATGTATGTATGTATGTATGTATGTAAACGGCATAGCGGCGGAAAAATGCATAGTTTTGAGAGCTCACTTTAATGAACCATACTGTATTGCATATTGTATTCCATGTATATAGCAGACTTGTACTAGGACATTGTATTGGTGTTTGCGAGCTGGGGCTGCCAAAGTTTCCTGTAGCGCACTTGTACTGGGACGCGGCGTTGTTGTTGGCAAGCTTGGGGCTGCCAAAGCGCAAAATAAACTTTTCAGGGCCTGTAAAGTTGTTTTTCAGCACTCCAGGCAGCTATCCAGGGCTGCCAGTCCTCAGAATGGAAATAAGCGACCCTGCAGGCAGCTAGCGGCCGCAAACGTGCAAAGTAAACTTTTCGGAGCTTGAAAAGTTTTTCAGCGCCTCCAACGGCTATCCGCGTTCTGGACTCGTACTACAAAGTTGTGATTTTCGCGCTGGAGCTGCGGAAGCGTACTTTTTTGTACTTGGCTTGTACTACCAGTCGTGGACGCGCGCTTCTTGCACTAGGTTTGTGCTACAAAATTGAGGTTTTCGAGCTGGAGCTGTGGAAGTGTACTGGAACGTGGCATTGGTGTTGGAAGGCTCGGGGCTGCCAAAGCGCAAAATAAACTTTTCGGAGCCTGAGAAGCTTTTCAGCACTTTAGGCAACTATCCGCGTGCTAGACTTGTACTACAAAGTTACGATGTGACGAGGGATTTAACGAGGTGACGAGGTGACCACGGATTTAACGAGGCGAGGCGCACACTCCAAAACCTTATTTAACAACGAGGTGACGAGGTAAGATTTATTGCAAATTGCCTAGATGTATGTATGAAATGCAATGTAATGTAATGTAATGTAAGTATGTATGTATGTTATGTTATGTTATGTTATGTTAAGCTATGTATGTATGTATGTATGTATGTAATGTATGCATGTATGTATGTAATGTATGTATGTATGTACGTACGTACGTATGTATGTATGTATGTATGTAATGTATGTATGTATGTATGTATGTATGTATGTATGTATGTATGTATGTATGTATGTATGTATGTATGTATGTATGTATGTATGTATGTATGTATGTATGTATGTATGTATGTATGTATGTATGTATGTATGTATGTATGTATGTATGTATGTATGTATGTATGTATGTATGTATGTATGTATGTATGTATGTATGTATGTATGTATGTATGTATGTATGTATGTATGTATGTATGTATGTATGTATGTATGTATGTATGTATGTATGTATGTATGTATGTATGTATGTATGTATGTATGTATGTATGTATGTATGTATGTATGTATGTATGTATGTATGTATGTATGTATGTATGTATGTATGTATGTATGTATGTATGTATGTATGTATGTATGTAATGTATGTATGTATGTATGTATGTATGTATGTATGTATGTATGTATGTATGTATGTATGCATGTATGTATGTATGTAATGTATGTACGTATGTATGTAGTGTATGTATGTATGTATGTATGCATATATAATGTATTTACAATGTATATAATGTAATGCAATGTAATGTAATGTTATGTAATGCAATGTAATGTATGTATGCATGTAGTGTATGTATGTATGCATGTATGTATGTATGTAAATGTATGTATGCTTGTATGTATGTATGTAATGTAATGTAATTTAATGTATGTATGTAATGTATGTATGTAATGTATGTAATGTATGTATGTATGCATGCATGTATGTAATGTATGTATGTATTGTATGTATGTATGTATGTATGTATGTATGTATGTAATGTATGTATGTATGTACTGTATGTATGTATGTATGTATGTATGTATGTGTGTAATGTATGTATGTATGTATGCAATGTATGTATGTATGTATGTATATAATGTAATGCAATGTAATGTTATGTAATGTAATGTAATGTTATGTTATGCATGTAATGTATGTATGTATGTATGCATGTATGTATGATTGACATACAATGTAATGTAATGTAATGTAATTTGTATTGTAATGTAATGTAATGTAATGTATGTATGTATGTTATGTTATGTTATGTTATGCATGTATGTATATATGTATGTAATGTATGTAATGTATGTCTGTCTGTATGTATGTATGTATGTATGTATGTATGTAATGTATGTAATGTATGTATGTATGTATCTATGTATCTATGTATGTATCTAATGTATGTATGTATGTATGCATGTATGTATGTTATGTCATGTTGTGTTATGTTGTGCTATGTTAAGCTATGTATGTATGTATGTATGTATGTATGTATGTATGTATGTATGTATGTATGTATGTATGTATGTATGTATGTATGTATGTATGTATGTATGTATGTATGTATGTATGTATGTATGTATGTATGTATGTATGTATGTATGTATGTATGTATGTATGTATGTATGTATGTATGTATGTATGTATGTATGTATGTATGTATGTATGTATGTATGTATGTATGTATGCTATGTATGTATGTATGTATGTATGTATGTATGTATGTATGTATGTATGTATGTATGTATGTATGTATGTATGTATGTATGTATGTATGTATGTATGTATGTATGTATGTATGTATGTATGTATGTATGTATGTATGTATGTATGTATGTATGTATGTATGTATGTATGTATGTATGTATGTATGTATGTATGTATGTATGTATGTATGTATGTATGTATGTATGTATGTATGTATGTATGTATGTATGTATGTATGTAATGTATGTATGTATGTATGTATGTATGTATGTATGTATGTATGTATGTATGTATGTATGTATGTATGTATGTATGTATGTATGTATGTATGTATGTATGTATGTATGTATGTATGTATGTATGTATGTATGTAATGTATGTATGTATGTATGTATGTATGTATGTATGTATGTATGTATGTATGTATGTATGTATGTATGTATGTATGTATGTATGTATGTATGTATGTATGTATGTATGTATGTATGTATGTATGTATGTATGTATGTATGTATGTATGTATGTATGTATGTATGTATGTATGTATGTATGTATGTATGTATGTATGTATGTATGTATGTATGTATGTATGTATGTATGTATGTATGTATGTATGTATGTATGTAATGTGTATGTATGTATGTATGTATGTATGTATGTATGTATGTAATGCAATGTAATGTAATGTATGTATGTATGTATGTATGTATGTAATGTATGTATGTATGTATGTATGTATGTATGTATGTATGTTATGTATGTATGTATGAATGTAATGTATGTATCTATGTATGTATGTATGTAATGTATGTATGTAATGTATGTATGTATGTATTGATGTATGTATGTATGTATCTATGTATGTATGTAATGTATGTAGTGTATGTAATGTATGTATGTAATGTATGTATGTATGTATGTAATGTGATGTAATGTGATGTAATGTAATGTAATGTAATGTAATGTAATGTAATGTAATGTATGTAATGTATGTATGTAATGTATGTACGTATGTAATAATGTAAAGTACTGCAATGTAATGCAATGTAATGTAATGTAATGTAATGTAGTGTAATGTATGTATGTATTTATGCATGTATGTATGTATGTATGTATGTAATGTATGTATGTATGTATGTATGTATGTAATGTATGTATGTATGTATGTAATGTATGTATTGTATGTATGTAATGTATGTAATGTATGTATGTTTGTATGTATGTATGTATTTATGTATGTAATGTATGTATGTATGTATGTATGTATGTTATGTTATGTTATGTTATGTTATGTTATGTATGTATGTATGTAATGTATGTATGTTATGTTATGTTATGTTATGTTATGTTATGTTATGTTATGTATGTATGTAATGTGTGTAATGTATGTATGAATGTATGTGTGTATGTATTCAATGCAATGTAATGTAATGTAGTGTAATGTAATGCAATGTAATGCAATGTAATGCAATGTAATGTAATGCAATGTAATGTAATATATGTATTTGTGTCTGTCATGTATGTCTGTAGGTATGTATGTATGTATGCATGTATTTATGTTTGTATGTTTGGATGTATCTATATATCTATGTATCTATGTATCTATGTATCTATGTATCTACGTATCTACGTATCTATGTATTGTATGCATGCATGTAATGTAAGTGTAATGTAACGTAATGTAAATGTAATGTAAATGTAATGTAAATGTAATGTAAATGTAATGTAAGTGTAATGTAAATGTAATGTAAATGTAATGTAAATGTAATGTAAATGTAATGTAAATGTAATGTAAATGTCATGTAAATGTAATGTACATGTAATGTACATGTAATGTGAATGTAATGTAAATGCAATGTAATGTAATGAAACAGTTTGGAATGGAATGTAATGTATTTATGCAATGCAATTCAATGTAATGTAGTGCAATGTAATACAATGCACGAAATGTATGTATGCGTGAATGTATACAAACACATTGGTACACATCTGACTCATAGGCTCAGCGTTCAGCACATCATTGGACCGGCGCATGACCAGCTTCCTAGCCCGTCAAATGGGAACAACCCCTGGCCTGGGGGTTTGGTCAACTGGTATTGGGTTTCCGGGCAGATGGGGGTGACCCGCTGAACGTGTTCTATCTAAGAAGTTCCAATACCAAAGTTGAAGTCATCGAGCCCTTTTGCATGTCGTATCCTTCGAAACTTTTTAAATAGTTCGTGGTAGAGTAAATGAGTATATAAATATGATCAGAATTATGAACCCACATCTGCGTTTTTATGCGTAAATTTGAACCGGTCTCCGAAGAAGCATGTGTTTTCAATATACTTATCAAATATATGTCCGTATATGTCTCATATTGTTACACAGACATATATATATATATATATATCCGTATGTTCCCATATATTTCTCATAAACACCGACATGTTGTTTTGTTTTCTTGGTGCAGAGACGGGCTACCTTTCCTTCAACCGGGTGAGGCCAGACACTGCTGGCCCATGCCATGCTGGCTCAGCGGCTGCAGAGCCTGGTGCCGCGGGCGGGGAACTTGGATCAGCTTGCCCTCGAAGCCCAGATTGGTTGGTCCCCTGCTTTTTCTCTCCCCTTTGGTTGGGCTGTTGTGGTTGTTGTGGTTGTTGTGGTTGTTGTGGTTGTTGTGGTTGTTGGAGGGTTCCCTATTAAAATAGACGGCAAAACTTCGTGGATTGGTAACTCATTTTAGTGCACAAGTTGGTGCCAAAAAAGCATTGCTTATCATGCAAGATTGGATACATTTTGCTGTTAGTTTCATTTTTGCTAGGATTGGTAATTGATTTTCAATCAGGTCCCCCAGCTAGGTACCCTTTCTCACCAACTTCTTTGGTTGAGAGGGTTCCCCTACTAAAATAGACTACAGAAAAAAAGTTGGTACCCTTATTCTAATCTCTCTACTGTAGGACCTAGTCAATGCACAATTTGGTACCAAAACCAGTGATCACCATGCACAATCAGTTACTTGTTGCTTTTATTTTTGTTTTTGCCAATGTTGCATGGTAACGTCTAAATTAAAGCCACCACCAGCACCGTCAAAAATTAGTGGATTGGCAATCATCATCCCAACAATTAGTATCCCCAATTAGTGGTGGTGGTGGCTTTGGGAATTAACCCCGATTCGTGGTTTGGTTTCTTTGAATGCTTGGGATTGCTTGTATGTTTTGGACTTGGATTGTTGGATTTGGATTTTGTCAGGTACCCTTCCAAGAATCAGGTTTCTTCAGGAACGGTAGTCTTCCAAAACCCTTGGTTTGTAATCCCAATTGGTGGTTTGGATTGTCCGTGTTTTGTAAAGGAATGGGGCAGAATCCTGAACTCGTCAACCCCACTTGGCGGTTTGGCGGTTTGGATTGTTTGGATTTGGATGTGGCGAATCCCTGTGTGTTGTCGAGGAATAGGAAACCCCGCCTTTACCAACAAACCCTCAAAGCTGAACTTGGCCGATTTTTGTGCGACCTTTTGAGCGGTTTCCAGCCCCCAGGACCCAACCACAGAGTTTTGGTCACCGTACCACGGTGATTTTGCTCACAACGCAGGATAAAACGCTCCCCACCATGAAGCCACCAGTCACTGCAAGTGAACAGCTGGGGGTTGCTGGGAACGAGACGATGTTCCACCCCAACCGGTTTTGCAGCTTGGGGATCAAACAAAGCTGCCCTTTTGCCGCCGATCGTGATTTGCACTCCGTGGAACTCAGGAGAACCGTTTCCAGACAACGCCGAGACGTTTCCCTCCAGGATGGCCATGGAAACCGGGTCCCTTCGAGCGCAAAGGTCTTTATAATGATGGTGAGCTCGTTCTGCTTCCAGGTGAGCTCGCCAAACAATCCGGCAGGACCATGTTTAAGCCTTTGTCGTTGAAGGAGCGCCTGCAAGAATGAAAACAGCTCTGGGTCCCATGAAGGTGCTTTACTTGGGGATCCGTTTATTCAGCTGTTGGAAGCATAGTAAAATCTGCAGACAATGGTTCAACCAAGTTGAGAACAGCTCCATGTTGCGAGCCTCATATAAAAAAATGTAACAGATGGAGACAGCGGTTGCATTCTGTGTGGCACACCTCACCCTGACATGGACACTTGCACCTTTTGGCTCAGCAGTTTCGATCAGGCGCACCCAGACTCCAAGTTCCCATAAACGAAACTCCCAGCCTGCCCGACACATTGGGCTGCGCGGTGATTTTTTTCTCTGCACAAGCCGCTTCGGCTTGGATGTGGACCTTCATCCGGGAGCTCTTCGCATCGCTGCCTGAACTCCTACCTTTTCGCACCATCGCACGGAGGCCCAGCCAGCTTCTCCGAAACACACGACAACCGGAACGTACTTAAGAAGAGCCCGAGCTATGTGCCATACTTAGTCTGTTTTTAATAAGTATATCCGATCAGAGATACACCCCTTACACGTTTCTAAAACACATAAGTATTTTCCACCTAAAACAGTTCCCGAAAGAGCCCTTATATCTAAATCCACGAAACGGCTCTGCGTTTCCTCGGGGCACGACTTTTGGCGCGACTCTCGGAACTGTTGAGGCTCGGAGGCGACAGGCTGTTCATGTGTGCAGCAGCCAAATCGTCTGCGTGAGGTTTGGGATCCTTAACCCGTGAGTGAATCCATGAGAGTTTCCATCCAGGAACCAGGACTCCAAGGAATGTTGCAACATGCGAAGTGTTGGATCTGGAGCCCTTTTGAAATATGCGATCATTCTTCTCAAAATTGCCAGGCCGTATATGGCTGTGGGTAAAAAATCGGTACCCAAGATGGAATCCTGGTAACTGGCAACATGGGCGGGCCAAAACCTGCGCTCCCCTGGTGGTTTAACATTTCGACCCGCAGCCATATGTGTTTCGCCCCCCCAAACAAATATCCATACGGGTCTCCTGGGTTCAGAGACCTCCCCGGGTCTCGTTGAGCACGTCGGCGGCTTGCTCCGAGGGCGCGCTGGTGATGGCCTGCATCGCCTGCCGCGGCACCCTGAAGTTGATGCCCAAATCCGAGGCGCGGGGAGCGGGCGGAAGCGGCAGTCCGGACGTGGAGCGGGAGAACTCGGACGGCACGAGCGAGCCCCCTATGAGGGTGTTTCTTTCTTTTGATTTTTTTGTGTTTTTTTTTTTGTTGGGGGGGGGGGGGAAATTGGATGAAATTGGTGGGTGGTCCTTTCGGTCGTCCATTATATACCACTAAAAGAGGGGGAACCGTCAAAAAAGGCAAGGTGTTGATTCATCCGGGGTAGGCTTAGACGATCTGCTGAAAAGGGACCCCTTGGGTAGTCAAGAAAAGGAACGCCCGCTGCCTGGAGGGAGCTGAACTTGTTCCAGCTTTCAGTGGATCCCGGACAAGGTGATGCGAGTTGGAGGGATTCTCAACATTAGTTTTTTTGTGGGGGGTTGGAAATCCATTGAAGCAACAACAGAGAGGGTTGCTTTGCAAATTTGTCTTTTGAATGAACCCTTTCAACATGGATAAAACATGTGTCTATTGTCCAGCATGTTTATGTTGAAAAGGACATTGTTGCAAAGCCAGCGAACCTTTTGGACATGAGGCTGGGCCCAGCTTTGCAAGCCCGGGATCCCCTTTCAAAGTGCCAAGGTGATCTAGTCCACTTCGGTATCACAAGGACAAGTTTCCACAGTTCAACCATGAAACCTAAATCAAAACGGAGCGAACAGGTGGTTCGACGAGTCGACGCTTTGGCAAAGCCACGTTTGGCAGAGGTGTAACTTGCCCAGGGTTGAATGACAGCGGGGGGAGCCTGTGGGGGGGAGGGTCCCTCGTTCCCCGAGGTCATCCGTCGTCCCGGACGGTCGGTGTCCAGATTCCTGTTTGCTGAGGTCGACTCGTGCATTTTGGAAAACGGTTTTTAGGAAAAGCGTGGAATCAATGGGAAAGGGGGGTAGACATTGCATATAACTATTACTATTGCATCAATATTTCCCCCTATAGTTTCATTCAAGATTCGAGAACTGCCTTAGCAGCTTGTGGGGTTGCCTGCCGCTGTTGCTTGTTGTTTGTCCACATATATATATATATATATATGTGTATGTATATTATAGCTGAAGAAAATGCCACCCTGGAAGCAATGAACTTGAAAAGCGCTTGTTTGGGGTCTAGGGGCTGAGCAGTGGTCTGCCTATCATCGGACCCCGATTCATGTTGCACCCAAACCTGGAGCAAGCATCAAGTGGGCCTTGAAACAAAGCACACAAGCAAGCAATGGCTCGGGTACGCAAAGGTTGGGAGAGGCAACTCGCCCAGAAATCGATGCGGATGCCCTCTCTCGTTGATTGCCACTTGTCGCCCAGGAGGCGTGCCCCTTGTGCGAGGGCGACCCCCACTTTGCAGAAGAGGCAATCGAGGCGGCCGCAAAACAAGTCGACGGGCAAGGGCAAAGGCTCAAGTACGAAAAACTCGGTGGTCTCCAGCCATACCCTTAGAATTTCAGATTTTCTTGAGTTTAGAGGTGCTCGTGACATATCGTGTCGATGCTCCACCGAAGGTGTTACTTTCAGCATGGGGATCAACGAACTAGCCTTGCAAACACCATTGTGCCATGGTCGCAAGGTCTATAGTTGATTTGGCCTAGTCAGGAGTTTGAACAGACATTAAAGTTCGTCCTAGCCGGCCAGACATGGAAAACCCAACAAGAAAAACTCAAACCGCTGGTCCTAGGCCCATCCAGCGCAGGCCTTGGTAACACAAGTGGCTTTCGAACGCGAATCGATGGGATGTGACCTTCGACCTTCCGGCTGCAAGATCAAGTTTTAGTAGTCCGACAGTGTACCCTTCCTCCCACTAACATGGCACCTGTGGGAGGGTACCCGGAAGATCAGTTTCTTCTTGGAGGGACCCCTTGTCAGGTGCCATGTTAGTGAGAAAGAAGGTAAGACGGCTTTCCTCTACGCCAGACTTCTCTGGAATTCGCCGAAGCCGCGCAGACGTCGTCAAAATCGAAGGCGGTTCTCGCAATTGACACCCGCAGAGTTGCAAGCCCTCACAAGCAACCAGTATGAAGCTGGCTGAGCAAGTCCAAAGAAGGGGAGGAGGAGTCGAGGAAAAAAAAGCATCGACCAACGAAGCAGGAAGAAGCAGAAGAAGCACGCGGACAGCAAAGGACATATACAAGGAAGGAATCGTCATCAGATGAATGCAACATGACATAAAAGGAGAGTTGAGGCAATGTTTTGCCGTACCCAAGTCAACGGCAAAGTGGGCACGAAGGAGTGAATTGGTTTGATGTGGTTTGCAGCCGACGCTGATTCCCTCATTTGTTCTGCTTGGTGGCACTCAACATTTGGACCTTCCATGTTGGAGGGAAAGCAACGCAATCCAGTGGATGTTCTAAGTATTGCAAGTTGGGGAAGAAGGGAACCCCGCAACCTACTGCAATTTACGATGGTTTGATGGTTGAGTCTGGTTTCACCTTAGATCTGTTCAAGTGACAATTGAGGGGCCTGCTCTCTGAGTTCATTGATGTGAAGAAAAGGGGTTCTCAAAATTACCTTGGCACTTTTTC